AATTTTTAATTATAAAAAGGACCACACATTATACTAGAAGCTAAGCATATACCACAAGAGATGGGAATATTATGAAATAAAATGTGTAATACCATACATTATATCATTACAATAAAAAGATGAGATTTCTTAGGAATGACTAGCTAAATGTGAGGCAGTGCTGAGAAGTTCACAGTACCCATTTCATAGCATCTGTTCACCTCCCATCATAATGTTCAACTTCTCATTCTTTCCCTCAAAGTGTTAAAACATTAAGAGACCCTACACAGCTGGAAATTCAATTTGAGCTGTAACTCAAACCCCTATAGGATTAGACTTTGGATTTGGTTTCAAGAAATCTATGCCTTTGGCTATTTAAGAGATAAAAGTTTCTTTTAGGGCAATCAGAGGCTTTAACCTCCTTCTGTGGTTTCTAAGCCATTCAAAAGAAAGAATGGCTACTACCTGTAACCTCTCGAGGAACTAAAGATGAATCTGAACTTTCATGTCAATAATTTTCTAGTTAAACGACTTATATACATTTGAAGAATCAGTGAGCAACTGACTCTGTGGCACTCTGCCTCATGTGGTACTCTGACCCAGTACAGACATATCAAAGGGTGAGAGTCTCCACAGAACCCTCTCCAGCACCGTCAGTGCTTTTCTGGAGACAACATCTAGCTTCTCAGACTTCCCTCATATAGTTGAGAGCAGGAAATTGCTGCTGAATGCTCACACTTATGTATGAAGCCAGGTACATCAGTATTGGGTAAGGAAAGCTGGCTTTCACTTTCCAAAAAGAGCATTCCAGAAAAGCAAAGGAACAACAGAAAGGAGAGGTGAAGACTGCTGCAACGAGGAACAGAAAGGAAGGGCTGTCTGCCGCAGAGCAACTCTTCATTAAGTGCCCGCAACATGCTAAAGCTCCCGGGTGGAATGCTGAGTCACAAGGAATAAGGAGGCGCTATCTGGGCCATTATGACACTAGGAACCTGAAACGTACCTAAAATACAATACACTTTATTACTCTTACATTAATTTAGCACTGATTCATGAGTAACTTGTGATTTTTCTTCAAATTCAGTTTATTTCTTTAAAAGGAGCTTTCTTTCCTATAGAACTTGAAAAGTGGTACACTGTTAGAACCTAAGGCCTGCCTCTTTAGGACAGTGGTCATTCTTTAAGAAGCCAGATCCAAAATCTGAGATCAGACCAAGCTTCCTGCAGCTCTCCCGGGGCAGAGGTAGAAGCTGCTTTCGTATGTAGTCTAACAGGTCCCCTGGTTTAGAGTGCTAACCAGTACCTTGTTCTTCCATGCTTTTTGTCCCACACACTATGCTGAGCTAAATTTTATGTGAAGCTTCCTGGCAGCCTCTCAAAACTTATAAAAAGTATGATATTTCCTTTGTTCTGGGGATTGCTCTAGGAATTCACTCTGAAGGCATTTCTCTGTCCTCCACCCCCAATCCTTCTCATGGAGACTAGCTCTATTTTCCCATATTTCTCCTATTCTAACTCATAAACTTATAAAGAAAATAGTCTTTAATTTCAAAATAAATATTATACTAAAATATCACCAGTTGATTGAAGAAACTGGTATTTTTATTTTTTGATTCAAGATCACATTATTTAAAAGTTTGACAACCACCTCTGGACTGGAAAGATGGCTCAGTGGTTAAGAGCATTGTCTGCTCTAGCACAGGACTAGGTTCAATTTCCAGCACCCATATGGTGGCTAACAACCATCCGTAACTCCAGTTCTAGGGTTCTGACTGCCCCTTTCTGACCTCTGCAGGCACTGCAAGACAAAGATAAGTATATCTTTACATGCAGGCAATTCTCTCTCTCTCTCTCTCTCTCTCTCTCTCTCTCTCTCTCTCTCTCTCTCAATAAAATATTAAAAGGCTAACAGCCACCTAAGCTTAAAGTCCATTATTAAATAACAAGAGAAACTGTCTATATTTGAGTTATTAAAACTGAGTAGATACCAACTGAGTAGAAAATGTTTAGACCCAAGTTAGATGTTTTTAATGTGAAAATTAATGTTTTGGCATTTTAATGCTGACAGTTTTTCCTTTACATAACATGATGCCACCTTGACCTTTACCCCATAGTCATAGCAACCAGAACAGGGCAATGCGGTGACAGCAGGTCTTAATGGTAATACTAATAGAGCTACTGACCACCCTTTGATGGGGAAGCTGGGATAACCTCATATGGAATTCCAGCTATTACTCCCTCCCCCAGTTGCAAATGATCTTGGGAGATAACTAGATTATATAGGAAGTGCAAGGTTAACTAAAAGTGACTCCATGATGCATATCTAGGAGGCTGAGGTGATACTGCTGTTTTAGGTTCAACCATACACCTATAAGTAACCCCTCACCAATCCTGTGTAAGCAAGTCCAATAAACTCATTGATCTTGTCCAGCTGGAGGTTGGTCTATCACTGTTGCCCAACAGTGAACAGACATTTATTTGTGTGTCTTTAAGAAAAGTTAACGCAATCCAGAAAAATCATATAAACTGACTTCACACCAGAACACAAGAAGCACATTCATTCCCTGAAGACGTGAAGACACAATGAATGAAAAAGACTCACGCATATCTGGAGACCTGAGTTCCATCCCCAGAACCCATGTAAAAGTAGAAAGAGCCAGCTCCACAAAGTTATCTTCTGACCTTGACAGGTATGCTGAGACATGCATAACACACACACACACACACACACACACAAATACATTTAAAAATAAATCTAGCCAGGCATGGTGGCGCACGCCTTTAATCCCAGCACTCAGGAGGCAGAGGCAGATGCAGATGGATCTCTGTGAGTTCAAGGCCAGCCTGGTCTACATAGTGAGTTCCAGGACAGCTGGGGCTACAGGGAAACCCTGTCTCAA